AGAAGACCCAGGTTTGATTCTAGTACCCACATGGTGGGTCATGAGCGTCTTTAACTCCAATATGCCATCTTCTGACCTCAGTGGACAGCAGACCTAGACATAAGGCACATATAAACATGCAGTTAAAACACTCCTACACATAAAATAATCAAATGTTAGGGAGTTATATTTTTTGAGACAGGGTTTCTCTGGCTGTCCTGAACTCACTCTGTAGACCAGGCTAGCCTCTGAACTCACAGAGATCCACCTGCCTCTGCTTCCTAAGTGCTGGATTAAAAGGATGTACCATCACCACCAGGCAAAATAATTTTTAAATTAAAAAAAATGTGTCTAGTATACAGATAGGATGGGAAAAGATTTGTAATGCAGCCTTGATGAAACTGGAATTGCCAACAAAATGACCAGATCTGTGGGTTTGCCATTGTATGTCTCATCTCTATACCCAGGTACCAGAAAGCACAAAATGTACCCATTCATGCTATCTGTATGACAAGAACTCCTACAACAGGGCCCAGAGTCAAGGTACCCAAGCCAGAGGAAGGGCTGCCACTGCTGGTCTAAGCCCAGGATGGGGTCTCCATAGTAGCTACACAAGCATCTAAAGACAAGAGCATATGGATGGGGTCTCTGCAGTAACTACACCAAAGGCAGGAGTATATTAAATTGTCTGGAAGCGCTCACCTTTCACAGTGCTGACCCATAGTGGCCCCCTCCACCATGATTGGAGACACTTGCAAGTAGGAGTCACAGCACAGGGGGCTCCACAAGCTAGGGAAGCAACAACCACAGTGCATCCAGCCCAGTCTTGCCTACATATGCACTGCCCCCTCACAGAGTTATAAATAGCACAAGTGGGTAGCATCCTCAGGATGACAGTGTTTGATAGTTTCCTGCTGAAAGACTACATTTCCCAGCGTTCTTACAGACTACAGAAGTCATTCCCAGGAGGGGCCACACCCATCTTCCTTTGTAGGCTTTGTCCATCTAGCTACATGACAAAATGTTCATTCCCTCGCCATGAAGTTCAGACCAAGCCTTTCTATTGTTAATCCTATTGACTGAGAATAAGACCACTATCACAATTTCGAGCCATTGAAGCAAACGTCATTAAATATTGGCCAGGACAATGGACACTGGCAAGGTCCATACCTGAATTCCCAGAAATGGCTGCAAATTATGTTGGGTGCTTATAAAGGTAAAACCCACAAGGCTAAGCCCTTCTGCCTTTGTCCAATTAGAGGCAAGCATACATCCCAACATGCTTCCCGCCTGTGTGTGCCTCCCACCTACATGTGATCAAGCACATTCTGTGCAGTTGGGGCAACCAACCTTATTTATAGAAGTCAAAACACTGTTACCTTCCTAGCATTCCAGGAAGTGGCTTTTAAATAATCAAAGTGTTCTGTGTGACAGACACTCCAGGCAGGGAACCAAGACCAGAACGAAGCATAGATACCACCAAAGTCCAACTTGATGAACCAATGAGTTTTATTGGGGTTACTTACAGGTGCAGACATGACCCAAAGACAACTGTATCACCAAAGCCTATCTATCCCAGCATGGGTGATAGTTCTTCACGGCTGGAACCCTGGCACACAATGCATGGCCTTTGGGGTGCACAGCAGGTTGGAGAATCAGTTATCAGTTAGTCTGAGCCTCTTCCAGGCAGCTTTGCTGTCTCTGCTACCTCTAGGTGGCTTGGCAGATGTTTCTTCCAGACAGCCTTTTTGAGCCTATCTGATCAGCTTACCTTGTCTGGGAGTGTCTAAGTAGGCTTCACTATTTACATGTGTTTCAGGAGGGCAGGGCCTAGTGAATCCTGTCAATTTCAAGGACTTCCTGAATTCCTGAACTTAATGAGCTTCCCGGCAGAATGGATTGTTTCACTCCCCCCTAGAATAACTTGTATCTTTTTTATGGTTTTGAGACAGGGTTCCAGGATGTAACAGCTCTGGCTGTCTTGGAACTCACTTTGTAGACCAGGCTGGCCTCAAACTCAGTGATCTACTTGTCTCTGCTGAGTATCTTGCACTGCAGAGTATCTTGTATCTTAAGGAGCCTCCCTGAAGAATGGAATGTTTTGCCTCCCTTTAGATACTAAAGTTTAGAACATCCAGTGTCTTAAGGAGCTTCCCTACAAAATGGATGATTTTATCTCAGTGAAAATTGCTACAGAGTACAATGGTACCCTGAGCAGAGTAACAGGGCAATTAAATCATTCTGATAAAGGAGATGATTGGCTCTCAACCGCACACCTACTGGCCCTGAAAACAACCACTGCAGATGCTAGTTCAAAGAGCATCATTTCAGGCACAAGGGGATTGATCAATGGTTTGGCGACAGTGGGGGCAGAATCCAATCTCAGCCACGGTGTTGGGGTAGGCCTTTCTTCATTGTTTCCACAAAGCCTGCCGGGAACTCCTGCAAATAAAGTGTGGCCCAGCAGCTAAGACTCCAGCTCAGGTGCCACCTTTATCAGTGAAGGAGCATAATTTAGCAGGAGGGTAGAGAGCAGCGGGTGGGATCAGTAAGCCCACCCTCCTCATATGGGCTCTGAGTTCACTCATGCCCCCTTTCCTCATAGCTCCTGAATCTTTACTTCCTCTCTCTCCAAAGGTCCAAGTTTATTCCCAACAATGCCAACTCTCACTCACAAGCATTTAAGCAGCCTCCTTCCAGACAGTCCACTTTCCTGCTTGAATCTTTTCTATGGTTCATGTCACCTGTGGGTAAAGCCCTTCTCCTGGTTTTGTAACCTCTGGCCCCTGCCCTATTCTCACTTTTTGCCCTTTCCATGTACTATTCTTCCTACATTCTCCCCTGGTAGGTGTCAACCCTCTTGGTGCAGGTCTAGACCTGTGCTCTTCTGCATGGCTGACAGCCTTGCTGCATAAATCCTGTCCTGCCACAATTTGTTTCCACCAGATTTAGGGTAGAGCACCAAGAACTTCACAGAATCCAGAAAGATGGTGATCTGCACAGGCTGCTGTATTCCCTCTATTCTCCAAACCATCAATGTCTTGGGTGGCTTGTTCCTGGTTCAAAGAAAGGTAGAAGAATCATTGTCCCGCTTGGTGTGTGAACACGCAGGTAAGGTTATCATGATCACTTGATCCCAAGGACACCTCCCTCCGTAACCTCACCCCATTCTCTTATGGTTTTTCTTTTCTAAGACAAGAGTCTTGTATAGCACAGGCTGGTCTCACGCCTGAGATTCTCTTGCTTGAGACACTCTGGTTCTGGCATTACATAATGCACCAATACACATGACCTGGGGTGTCTCCTTCTTCCCTTTGCTTGATCTTGAGCGTGCGTGCGTGCGTGTGTGTGCGCGCGCGTGTGTTTGTGATACATGCTTCTTGCCTTGCAGGTGCATATGAAGGCCAAAGGTTGATGATGTCTTCCTCAATTGCTTCTCCATTATTTTTTAAAGATTTATATATTTTAGCCAGGTGGTGGTGGCACACACCTTTAATCCCAGCACTTGGGAGGCAGAGGTAGGTGGATCTCTGTGAGTTGAGACCAGCCTGGTCTACAGAGGGAGTTCTAGGACAGCTGGGGCTACGCAAAGAAACCCTGTCTTGAAAACCCCCCAAAATATATATGTATAAATTTTGCCTGCATGTATATATATATGGCTGTATACCATACCCATGCAGTGCCCTTAGAGGCCAGAAGAGGGCAAAATCCGGTTAAGCTGGAGTCACAGGTGGTTGTAAGCTACTCTATGAATGCTGGGAACCTGACCCTAGTCCTTTGCAACAGCAACAAGTGCTCTTAACAACTGAGCCATCTCTCTAGTTCCGAACCGTTTGTTTTTTAAAAAACTTTATTTTACACCTGACAGTGGTACATGCCTTTAATCCCAGCACTTGGCAGGAAGATGTCTGAGTTCAAGGTTAGCCTGGTCTACAGAGTGAGTTCCAGTACAGCCAGGGTTACAGAGAGAAACCCAGGTGGCTGAGACAGGTGATCTCTAGGTGGTCAGGACTAGCCTGGTCTACATAGCAAGTGCCAGGTCCCTCAAAGCTACATAGTGAGACCCTGTTTCTAAGAGAGAGACGGAGACAGAGAACCTTTTTTTTCCCTCAATAGTCTCTCTACATAGCTCTGACTATCCTGGAACTGACCAAGTAGTCCAGGCTGGCCTTGAACTCAAAAAGATCAACCAGCCTATGTTGCCCACGTGTTGGTATTACAGATGTGTGCCACCACATGTATGTAGCAAGACAGAGATTGAGGTAACTAGTTTTTTTTTTTTTTGGTTTTTCGAGACAGGGTTTCTCTGTATTGTCTTGGAAGCTGTCCTGGAACTCGCTTTGTAGACCAGGCTGGCCTCGAACTCACAGAGATCCACCTGCCTCTGCCTCCCGAGTGCTGGGATTAAAGGTGTGCGCCACCAACTAGTTTTTAAAGTTTGTGTGAACACAGGTGTCCATGGAGAGCAGAAGAGGGAATCAGATTCCCTGGAGCAAGAGTTGCAGATGGCGGAGAGGCACCTGACGTCAGTGCTGAGACCACTCGGTCCTCTGTTGGTGAGAACTGTACGTGGTCCTAACCACTGAACCACCTCTCTGGCCTCCATCTGATTTTTTGAAATATGGTCTTTCACTGAATCTAGGTTTTGTCATTTAACTGGCTGGATCTGCCTGACCAGTGCTGGTGTTCAGGCACCTGCCTGTCTTTTACTGCAGCTCTAGGGAGCCAAACTTACGTTCTTACACTTGTGCAGAGAAGCACTTTACCTACTAAGCCATCCATCTTTCAGCCCTGCCTGGCTTCGTCTATTAATATTGTTATTGTTGTTGTAAAGACAAAAAATTTCTTATCCATTTATTTCTATGTGTATAGGTGTTTTACCTGCATGCATGTCTACCTAGTATCCAATGAAACCAGACAAGGGCACCAGGTCCCCTGGAGTTACAGACAGCTGTGAGCTGCCAGGTAGGTCCTGGGTCTTATGGAAGAGCAATCAGTGCTCTTAACCTCTGAGCCATCTCTCCGGGCCAGCCACTAAGTTTTTATTTAAGGGATTTCACACAATTCCTTTCTTATCAACATTCAAGATTCTCAAGACAGCATTTTCCCAAAGAGCCAATACTTTATCCAGTTGTGCCTTAAAATGAAAAAAAAAAAAAAATGTGTGTGTGTGTGTCTGCCTATAACCATGGAAGAGGGTATGGGATTCCTTGGAGCTAGATACAAGTGTTTTTGAACTGCTTTTTTGTTGGAACAAAACTTGGATTCTCTGCAAGAGCAATGAAGTCCTCTTAACCATTAAGCCACCTCTCCAGTTCCCTGGCTTGGTCTGGTGGCATACGCCTTTATTCCCAACAGGTAGAACACTGAGTTCAAGGCCAGCCTGATCTACAAAGGGAGTTCCAGGACAGAGCCAGGGGAAAGAGAGAGAGAGAGAGAGAGCGCGAGAGAGAGACAGAGACAGAGACACAGAGAGATGTGTGTGTGTGTCCTCACTAGGTAGATGATGCTGACCTCATAACTCATATTCAAACTCCCAAGTGCAGGGATTGCGGGTTCCCTACCTCCTAGCCACTACCTTCCAGTCTGGCTACCAGTGGACTACAGATGGGCGCAGCAGCTGCTTCCGCTCAGGACCCAGCCTCTTCTCCAAAGCAGAAGGTACCAAAAATGTACACAGGCCACGTTAGGGGACACAGTGAGGCTGGACCCGAGTAAGATGGAGCATGTAGCATCCAGTCAGAAAAAACACTGCTGAGGAACAGCCTTCCTGGATCCACCAGTCAGTTACCACAGAGAAAAGTCTTTGGACAGTAAGGGCAGGCTTTGTGGTTCAGATTCCAAGCCTGGCCTCTTGGGAAAACTGAGGCTAGTCACTTTCAGCAGAGTAGCAGTACCTCAAGCCTTTTCAGCCTGTTCCCACCCCTAGACAAGCCCAAGCAGAGCCTTAAAGCTCGGCCCCTAGAGACCAGTATCACAAAGGCTTCTTTCCCTGGCCTAAAAACCTGCTAGCTGCAGGATTTCCCAGAGTGCCTCACAATCCTGAATGGGGCCCATCTGGCTCAAAACTGGGCCACTCAAGGTGAGGTGCCCTACTTCATAGTGGCTCTGCCCCGCCCCTCAGGATCTCTCTCACACATCTACAGAAGCCTACACCTGAATTTCCCCACATCTCTCCAGAAGCCTGGGAGATCTGCCCTTCCATAATATTTCCCTATCATTCAAATTGATGACCTACTTCAAGCAACCAGGTCATTCTCTCCAAGCCTGTTCCTAGGACTACATCTGGCAGGTGGCAGGCTCCTGCCAGCAGCCTACAGACGCCAAAATCAATCAGTAAATAAGACCTTGGAAGGTGCGCAGGGAGACTGAAGGTGCAAAGGTATAAAACATGATAGATGGAACATTGGATGTACAACTTGAAGAACAGGTCACGAGAACACCCTTCCCGCTACCCACCCCACCCCCAAATCCTCAGCTTCTGAAAACATGGGGACCACAGGGGCCCTGGGGGTACCCCGAGTCTGGAAAGCTGCAGAGTCCACCAGCATAGCACTGTGATGCTGGTCACACGGACAGCACAACTGTTTTCCCAAGCACTGCTTCCAGACGACTCAGGATGCTGAGCGTGGAGTCAAGAAGGTAGCAATGGCTGGAGCCACACGACTGGAGAGAGGTTCACACGGAGGATCTGCTGGGCCCACTGCCGAACCTCGTCATCGGAGGACTTCCTGTCCACCTTTATAGTCTGGGCCTTTCGAGGTTTTGCTCCAGGCCCCAGCCGTGCCTTAGGAGACTGGAGCACAAGCCGTGCTCTCTTCTTAGGAGGAAGGCCCTTGAGCTCCTCAGTCTTCTTCCTCTTCCTCCCCACAGCCTCAGAGCCCCTTCTCAGGCTTGTTTTTCCAGCTCTGCTCTGAACACGTCCTTCTGGCCTTGCCTTGCGCTTGGTCTGAGCTGCTTTGGCCTTGGTCTTGACCACCTTGGCTTTAGCCTTGTCCCTTACTACAGTGGCCTTAGCCTTGGCCTTGGCTCCCGCTGCCCTGGGTTTGGCCGGCTTGGCCTTTGTTGTCTTGGCCCTGACCCTTACCGTCTTGTTCTGGGTTCGAGCTAGACTGGCGTGGGCATGAGCAGCTTTGGTCAGCGTTCGAGATGCCTTGGCCCGGGCTGTTTTGGTGCCCATGGCAGAGCATCCTTTCACGGGTAGGCCACTGCTCCAGGGCCCAGAGCCTCGTCCATCAGCCCCAGGGCCTTTCCTGCTCACGCATTTGAGGCCCTTGCTTGTGATTTTCCTGGATGCTTTGGGCTGTGGATTCCCCAAACCTTTTCTCAGTTTCAGGGAAGAGTTTGCAAGTGACAGCTGCAGTGACTGTGCCCTGTGCTTAGAAGCCAAGCAAGGAGTCTTGAGTGGGACGAGTGCTTCAAGGACCACAGAGAGATGCATGGCAGGGTAGACACCTGGGTAGAGGTGGGAAGGGAAGCCTACTGTTGTACCACTGGTGTGGCTGCCATTTGATTGCTTCAGGGAGCTCAGCAGCAGGTTAGTGCGAGCATGCTTGGCGAGGGCTGGTGTGGACCCCTTAGCCAGCCTGCCAGACAGTGGCACCGGGAGCAGTGTGGCCTGGCTTGCAGGGAGCGACACAGCAGTTTGGGGAGCCCTGGATGGAAGTGATGTGGCAGACGGGTTGGTGGTGCGAGCTTGAAGCTTTGTCTGGCTAGGGGGGTTGGCTGTGCATGAACTATAACCATAGACATCACCACTTCGCAGAATGGTCGGCTGGAAGCCATCATCTCGCAGGCCCTGCAGGAAAGCCACAAGCTGGGCCTCTGTGGCACTGAGATCCTGGCTCATAGGATTAAACACAAGCAGTGCCTCTTCCAGCGCTTTCTTCCCTGCTGTGGAGATGCGTGACCAGGAGTGTACAGCTTTCTCCTCCACATGGTGCACGACCATGCTCATGGCATTAGGCACTGCAGCTATGCCTGGGTAGCCACAGACCAGCACTGGGCACCTTCAAAGCAAAAAGAAAAGAGTTGATAAGGATGGTACCAAGGTTTGGAGCTAGAACAGGCTGGAAGTCAAGCAAGGCTCCCACTCTATGATCAAAGGGCCTGCTGGAATAAATCACTTCCTAGGGTCTCTCGGCCCTCGACCATGTTGGTGTTTCTTTAGGATACATGCTCAGCAGCACCTCAGAGCTATCCACCTACTGCTGGGCTTCTGGGAAGACTGAGATCTAGCTCATCTTAATTCAGTGGTATTTTTCTCTCCTTTCTTTTAGACAAGGTGTCATATAGGCTAGCCTGGCCTTGAACCCTGACCCCTCTGCCACTAGCTTTCAAGGGCTGGGATCACAGGCAACACTGCTACTACCATCTTTGGTGGTTTGGAACATGGGGCTCACTATGTAGCTCTGGTTGCCTGGAGCTTGCTATATAGTCCAAACTGGCCTCAAATCGGTAATCCTCCTGTTGGAGCCTACCAAGTGTTACGATTACAAATGTGCGTCTAGAGCTCAGCTAAATTTTACATTTTTCCTATTCTTTGAAATGGAGCTTGCTGTGTTGCCAGGCTGGTTGGTTGGTGAGAGTCATCCTCCCACTCAGGCCCCCAAGCAGCCAGAACCACATGCTTGTACTGCCATGCTTGAGGTTTTCTTTTGTTTTTATTTGTTTCTTCTGATGCCAAACATCTAGACTCAGTCCCACGAATACGGAAAAATGTCTCTCTCCTCAAAGAGCCCAGTCCAGAAGTCAAGACACAGCCACCACTAAGTTTCCTGGGAGTTTATGGTGTTACCCAGGTCAGCTTACTAACAGGTTAGGGAAGGACTCCCGGGAGCCGTAACTCTAGATGAGTGACAAAGAATGGAGCAAAAAGGGTAAAACCTACGAAGTGACTGTGAAGAGGGATCGAGGGACCTATGGGGGATGCTGAGTCAGCTGAAAAAAAGATGAAGGGCTTTGACATAGGCCCAAAGGCCCAGACGTACACGCCACGTCCACCCCCACATGTTCATCCAGCCGCCAGTGTTCCAGTGCAGGGTGGTTGATCTCCTGCTACCACTGACTCTGCTTTGAGGGTCTGTACACAGGCTACTCCAAAGCCCAATTCCTTGCTCTAGTCTTGGAGTTCGACCCCAATAAAAGAGCTAGACTCTTCAAAAAAAACAAAACAAACAAAAAACACCAAAAAAGCTGTTGAATAATGGTTGCAAGCATGTCTAAGGTAAGAGGGAGTCAGGCAGCTAGACCAAGGAGTCCAAGATTTGAAGACAATGGAAGGTAAGGTTCGGTCTAAGAAGGTAGGCCAAGCGGCCATTGAAGGTCTGAGCTGTCCTACTAGACTCTAAAGGGTATTGCACAGACGCCGTTGTCTGGGACCCCTCAAATTGCCCTAGGCTTCCTTACAGAAGTGATGACTGTCAATCATGAGTAACACTCAGCATGCCTGCAGTATTCGAGGGCTTCTGGAGGTAAACTCCCCAGCTGCAGGGGGCATTAAAAGACCAGCTGGGACGAGACTGATCCCTGGTGCTTTGCGGCCCGGCTGTGCTGCAGCTCAGCACAGCTCTAATGGAGCAGACACACAGGCTTCAGAGTCCCCAGAGAAAGTGCCCTGGGGCTCTTTGTTTGGAAACATTCTTGGATCCTCAGGTGTCTGAGGCACTTCCCCTCCCCCCAGAGGATGCTCTCCAAGTACAATCCCTGCACGTGACTTCAGTTCTTTTTATTTATTCATTGAAGGGGTAGGCTGTGAACTGTACAGCAGAGAGGGTCCCCCCAAAACCTCCAGTGCTAATATTGGGGGGCGGGGGCCTAGGTCAGGCTGAGCCCTCGGGAGGGTGCTCCTCGGCTTTCGCGCAGCTTCGTAAGCAGAGGCTGCAGCCAGGCACAGTTGCCTTCACACATTCCTTCGGGGCCAGCCAGCAGAGGAAGTTGAGGGCAGACCGGGGGTGGGTGCGGTACTAATCAGGCTGCCTGGGGTCGGGGACAGACCGGGGCCCTCAGGCTGGGAGACCGCGTCCCCGGGGCCCCAACGGCGACAGGGAGTCGGGATCAGGGCGGAGGCGAAATGTGTAAGGTGGACAGCCGTAGCCCGACAGGATCCGCACAGCCCCAGGGTGGGGTCTGGGTGGGGGTGGGGTGTCTCGGCCAAGCCCGGGGAGAATGAGGATCCGGGAGGGTCGACCACCCAGCCCCTTCGCCCTGCCGCCCTTGGCCGTTAGGCCCGCGACTCCAACCTACCGGCGCCGCCGCGGGGACCCAGGACGCACCTCTGCGCCGCCTCCGCCGCTCCAACATGGCCGCCTGCTGCGCGCCGGAAATGCACTGCGCTTCCGCTTCCGGGACCTGGCCCTCCTGGTGACCCTTGACCTCTAGCACTTCCCCCAAGTCTGGGGGTGGACCAGGTTGAGTACCAGGGAGGGCTCCCTGGAGGTGGTGGCCACAAACACAAGTCCAAACCTGTCTGATCCAGTATGGGAGTCTGCATCAGATAGATGGCAGAGTCACAGGAGCCAAGTTAGGATTGGACTGGGACCTTATTCAACATTTTTCTTGAATGGCCTGTAGTATAGGACATCAGGGTTATTCCTGTCAAGGTCTTGGGCCTGCTTCTCTCTCTGGCAACTGATCAGAAGGTCAAAAAGGAGTGTGCCTGTTAAGGAGTGTCTCCGAATGGTTCCCGGGTTTCACCACAAAAGTATCTCCTGTAAGGATAGAAGCCCTCCTGAGGGTGGGGCTGACCCCGCCCGGCATACTGCATGCAAGGCTGGTGTATACAAATGGGCACAAGTGATACACGAAGCTTGGGGATCTAGACGGCCAATCTAAGTCACAGCACATCGTGTGGGCCTGAATACACCTGCACACGCACGTGTGCACAGGTGTAACAGATCTGGCTCAGTCGCTGCACTCCAGGCACAGGGTCCCACTCTCAGAATCCCATGGCTAGGGAGATTGCAAACTCAGTCTTTCTACCCATGGCCTGTAGGCAACAGAGGGTGTTAGGGCCCATTCCTCATCTGAGACCTCAGAGAACAGTTCAGTGTGGTTCCCAGAACCTTTGGTTTTTTTATGGTGTCTCTCTGCACCGTCCTGGACTGCTGGTATCAAAGGCATGCGCCACCACTGCTCTTAACAAAGTGCCGGCTTGACAGCTGCTTCCGGTCCAGGTTGGGAGCCATCAGGGAAGCGCAGGTCCCATGGATGAAGTGGTGGAAGCATTTGGCCCTTTTATAGAACGCGAGTCAGAAGACAGCAATATTGCTACAGCTCTGCTCCTGAACCCTCACAGTGGTGCTACCTTTGGTTTCCGGGATAGATAGGAGTGGCTGGAATGCTTCATGTAGGGGCTGTAACGGAATTCCTTTATTTATTTTTGTTTGTTTTTTGAGACAGAGTCTCTGTGTGGCTTTGGAGGCTGTACTGAAATCAGCTCTTTTAGATCAGGCTGGTCTTGAACTCACAGAGATCCTCCTGCCTCTGCCTCCCGAGTGCTGGGATTAAAGGTGTGCGCCACCACTGCCCAGCGTAAATGGAGTTCTTAATTGGTCTAAGTAATAAAAACCCAGAATCATATGTAGAGGAAAATGCTGAGACAAGGAGCAAGCCATCCCTCCACTTTACCTGCTTAGTGTCTCAGTTCCTGTTTCTCCTGCTTATATCCCCTTTCCACCCAGCTATCTCACTTCCTGTTTGTCTGTACAGACTTCCAGACCTCTATGGTTAGCTGGTGGTAAGCTCCATTCTCTGACCTTCAAACAGGCTTTATTTGTGCAAGTAAGCTGTCACCACAGAGATCTACCGCCTCTGCCTCCCAAATGCCGAGATTAATGGCGTGCAACACCACTGCATGGCAACATTTTGTTTTTTAAACATTGTGTTTCCATTCTTGGTTACACCTTTCCACAGCACTGGTGTAGAGGTGGGAGGACAACTTTCAGAAACTGGTTCTATTGTGCGGTTCTCTGGAATCAAACTCAAGTTGTCAGGCTTGGCAGCAGGCACTTTTACCCTTTGAGTCAGCCACTAGCCCTCTCCACCATGCATATTGAGGCGAGGTCACAGGCTGAACCTGGAGCCCATCATTTTGCCTGGTCTGGGATTTGATACCTCTTGCACTCTGGGATTGCAGGCCGACTGCCATACCTACCTGGCTTGTATGTGAGTTCTAGAGAATGCCACTGCTTATAGGACCTGTGCTTCACCTGCTGAATCTCTACAGTCTCACACCTGGATTTGTTTTTTTGAGACAGGATTTCAGTGTAGCTCTGGCTGTCCTTGACCTATTGATGTAGACCAGGCAGGCCTTGAACTCAGAGATCTGACTACCTCTAACTCCCAAGTGCTGGGTTTAAAGACATGCACCACCACCGCCAGGCTCCACAATGGGATTTTTAGACCATAGGTTCTAGGGATCAAATTAGATCCTCATGTTTGTATAGCAATCACTATCAACTGTCCCAGCTCTGGAGTCCCAAGCCCCACCTTCGAGACAGTCTCACTAAATTATAGGACTAAGTCTTGAGCTACTCCCTGAGAAGCTGAGAAGGTTCTGCAAAAGATTCTAAGAGGCAACATAACCTGTCAGCAAGAATTTGAGGTCATAAAGGGTGAAACTTTGAAGAGCCTACAAAATCTCACCAACAGGATAATCCTAGTTTTATGGTTGTATGGCATGATGGTTAATCTTGATTGTCAATTTGACTGGATCTGGCTTTTGTTGTTTTTTAAATTTTAATTATGAGTATGTATGTGTGTATTATGTACATATACATACAGTGCCCATTGAGTCCAAAAAAGGGCATTGGATTCCCTGGACCTGGTGGTTGTGAATAGCCCAGTTCAGGTACTGGGAACCAAACTCAGGTCCTTTGCAAGAAGAGCAGGATGTACTCTTAACCACTAAGCCATCTGTCCATCCGTGTTTTTGTTCTTGTTTTTGAGACAAGAACTCATTATGCTGTCCTGGCTGGCCTAGAATTCACTGTAGACCAGGCTATCTTCAAATTCACAGAAATCTGCCTGCTTGTGCCTCTTAAGGGCTGGGATTGAAGGTGCACACCACCACTCTGGCCTTTGACTGGAAGTGAAACCAACTAAGAGAACAGTGCTGGACACACTTATGAAAAAACACATTCTAATTGTGGACAGCGCATTCTAGTAGCAGCCGATAAAGGAGGTTGAGAGTTGTGAGCCACCATGTGGGTGCTGGGAATTGAACTCAGGTCCTCTGGAAGAGCAGCCAGTGTGCTAAACCACTGAACCATCTCTCCAGCCCCCCAAAACCAATTGTTTCAAAAGCGATTTGGAGGAAGAAGTGGCAGTAGACTGACGTGGCAGATAACGCAGTGATGGAGTCTGAGGGGACAGATGGTTTCAGAATTTGGAGGGGGCAAGAAGAGATGACCTTGACTTAGTGCTGAGAGACATTTAAAAGCAGCCAGCTTGTAAATGGGTAACAGCCGGAAAGAAAATGGAAGGGGCTTAGGAAGAGGACACTGGTGAATATGAGGACATAGGGGTGACACTGTGAGTACCCTGTGGGGTAGATGCCAGTGTCCCGAGAGGGACCATCTGGAGAATGGGAGAAGTGGCATAGGACACAGAGGCCTTTTAGAGTCTTTGCAACTTGTGACAAGTCTTTGCACCAGCATTTGTGTGTGTGTGCCCTCCACCGCAAACCACCAGCTTCTGGAAGAGCTATAGGCTCTAGTTAGTCATGAGGAAGGGTTCACCCACATTCTGGGTGGCGAAGTCAGGCAGGCGAAGGCATTGATGCCCCCCAAACAGCTCTCTACATACAATTCATGGGATGGGAAGATGAGTTCCTTAGTTCCCCTTGCCCTTGTGAGCAGTAACAATGTGAGGTCCCTGCTCCTGATCAGCTCCCAGAATCCCCATCAGGACTCGGTCCCGGCCACCCCTAGTGTAACTGGTCTCATAGCACCTCCTCATTGGCTGCTTTTCTTGGTCTTCTTGCTGCTCCTCTGCTGTCGCTTCCTGGCTCCGCCTCCCACACTAACTACAGGCTCTTGTTGTCTCGAGATCTGCTTTGGGAAAATTATGATAAACACTCTACATGAAAGGGGTGTCCTCCCAGGCTTCTGAATGCTCATAAGACAGGCTGGGCCAAGGTTTGAGTCGGAAGTAGGTGTGTCTTTGTCACATCAATTTGCTACCAACATGACCACAGAATTGGCTAGAGGCAAGCTCTGTACCCTGAAGGACAATCACCAGGCCTCAGAGTAGCCCCAGGCAGGATTTACAAGATTAGGCAGAGAGACCGTGGCCTCTGGCTGGTTTAGCTCATGTGCTCAGACCTAACCAAGAATAACCTAGCTCTCTGTAAAGAAGGGCTGGATAGGTCCTAAGCTAGTACAGCAGTCTCCTCCAGCCCGCCTGCTAGTAGTCTCAGGATCTATTCTGCAGCTGGCTTTGTGTCATGGTTGTGTCCTGGTTGAGACAGCGCAGCTGAGCTTTCCAACCAGAGGCCCAGGCTACAGCCCTAGTGGCCTCCAGGGGGCGCCGCAGAAAAGCTGGTGTTGGGCACCTGCATGCTCAGTTGTGCTGGGCGGGCTCCGACCCCTTAAGGCCCCAGGTTCCACTGGCTAGCTCCTGCTGGATGCGCGCCGAGTGCATCTATTACAGAACCACACCCGCCTCCAATCTCATCGTACCGGTGTTGTGTTGATCGCCTCATTTCTGTCATCGCCCCAGGTAGAACCCTAAATCCTAGCCGGTCGGATGTCCATATGCCTGCCTGTTCATTTTGGGTGACGGTGGGTCGGTGTGCCCTACTCCGGCCGTGGCATGTGCAGAGTTAAGGCGGGAGGAGGTTTCCCCGAATCTGGGGAGGGGGGAGCGAGGGGCGGACCTGAACCAGCCCCGCCCCACGCCGAAGCGGTGCGGGGGCCCCATCAGAGCCCAGCTTCAGCCCTAGCCAGAGCCAGCGTCAGCGGAGGCGGAACAGTGGACCCCGTGTCCTGGAGACATCAGAGATCCAGGGGGTGAGTCCCGCGGGAGCCTGGCTCAGGGGCGGGGGCAAGTTTGGGGCATGAAGCTTAGAGCCTTTATTAAGCCCACTCGCCAGACCCGCCCCCCCTCCTTCGAGTTGGAAGTTTGGGGCCAGGAGGCCGTCCTGCCAAATCGCGGGACTGAGAGTGGAGACATCCCCAACGCAGACAGACAGACAGACAGACAGACACACACACACACAGAGAGAGAGAGAGAGAGAGAGAGAGAGAGAGAGAGAGAGAGAGAGAGAGAGAGAGAGAGAGAGAGAGAGAGAGAGAGAGAGAGAGAGAGAGAGAGAGCGCAAAAGGCAAAAGGGGAGGCTAAGGAATGTGACCTTAGGGGGGGCGGCTCAAGATCCGGATCCAGATGTTTATTCCTACATGAAAAGCCCTGGACTCAGGGACCTTCAAATCCTGTACTCACGAGATTGCCCACACCAGTCCCCTCATCCCTCCTCAGCAAGGAATCTGCTGGCATTGCCACACCCCTGAGGATGGACTTCAAAGGGAGTGCGGAACCCTGAGGTCTGTCCCCTTTGAATCCTTCACTCCCAAGACAGGCTGTTTGCTGCTATAAATGGTTATTCCACTCTGTAGAATGGGACACTCCTGTGTAGGGACTGCAGGCGAGGGGCCCTAATGGTTGTCTGAGGGACACTGCATACCAGTGTACAGGGGATTCGGGAAAACCAGGATAAGTCGTGTTGTCAAGGAGGTGCGCTGGGAGGGAGAGTTGGGTCTACACTGGGAGGGAGAGTTGGGTCTACACTGGGAGGGAGAGTTGGGTCTACACTGGGGGGAGAGTTGGGTCTACACTGGGGGGAGAGTTGGGTCTACACTGGGAGGGAGAGTTGGGTCTACACGGGGAGGGAGAGTTGGGTCTACACGGGGAGGGAGAGTTGGGTCTACACTGGGGGGAGAGTTGGGTCTACACTGGGAGAGTTGGGTCTACACGGGGAGGGAGAGTTGGGTCTACACTGGGGGGAGAGTTGGGTCTACACTGGGAGAGTTGGGTCTACACTGGGGGGAGAGTTGGGTCTAGTCACTTTACCTCTCCTTCCACTCAGCAAAGTTGCTAGTTGGGTGTGGGGAGAGTCCCTCATGCCCTGTGGGAAATAAGAAAGCTGTCTGGGTATCCGGAGTCTCTTCTTCTCCACTACAGAGGATCCTCACCTGTGGAGTCCTAGTGGGACGTGGCGGGTCCTTCCCCACCAGTGATTTGGGGCCCGGCCTGCCTTTAGCTAGGCATTATTCATCCGTTTCTTGACAGTGGCCCTCATTCTTTGTTCTCCATCTCTCCTCCAGGTGAAGGCGGGGTCCCTTGGCCTGGTCAGACATACGCTTACAGCCCTGGCAGAATCAAGATGAGGCCCTGAGGTGTCTCCCCAGTGAGGCCCGCGGCCTGAGCGAATGGCATGGCCTGCCGCCGGCAGTGAGCACCATGGCTGCAGGGGGTGGCCGGGCCTTTGCTTGGCAGGTGTTCCCCCCCATGCCCACCTGCCGGGTGTATGGCACAGTGGCACACCGAGATGGGCACCTGTTGGTGTTGGGGGGCTGTGGCCGGGCGGGGTTACCCCTGGACACTGCTGAGACACTGGACATGGCCTCACACACATGGCTAGCATTAGCACCCCTGCCCACGGCCCGGGCTGGTGCAGCTGCTGTGGTTCTGGGTAAGCAGGTGCTAGTGGTGGGCGGTGTGGATGAAGCCCAGAGCCCGGTAGCTGCTGTGGAGGCCTTCTTGGCTGATGAAGGCCGCTGGGAGCGTCGGGCTACCCTCCCTCAAGCAGCCATGGGGGTTGCGACTGTGGAGAGAGGTGAGTGGCTTATCAAGGAACGTCCCTCGGGTGCCCCTACAACCTTCGTTTTTTCTTCCCCTGACGGGATACATTATCTCACACGCTGGATAGGTATTACCTTGGTCACGGCTTTGCCTCCTGTCTCCTCCCTTACCTGGGCTTTCTGCAACTTGCTGTCAACGGTCTTTTCTGAGCTATGAGGTGGGGGTCAGAGCCCAGAAGGCCCCCAGAAAGATAGGAGACCCCCAGCCACTACCCAGTCCTATTCGTTGTTACTAAGAGACAGTGGTGGGTGTGGCCTAATGACTCTCATAGTTATAAATAGTCTGGAGTGGGGGAGGGGAGCAAGGCCTTGGCTCTGAGCCCAGCAAGTGCTTAAGTGCTTAGACCTCCCCCCCCCACCACACACACCAGGAATCCTGCTGTGGACAAAGGCCAAGCCGACCTGCAGATGGTTGCCATGGAAGCCCCTAGCTGCCGGTCAGTGTGCCCCTAGCTGACTCTGAGCGCCTAACAGAAGGCAAGAACCTCCTCTAGGGAGACAGCATGGCGCCGGGTGCTGGCAGGGCCCAGGCCCTGTCCTCCAGGCCCAGGCTCATCTCCCAGCTCCAGGCGTTCGCCTCTCAGACTGAGCAAATCTCCTTATCCCTCTACCACTGCCTTAACCTACCCCTCCCTCCCCCATCCTGGGAGCCCTCCCCCTACACACACACGCGCACACACACACACACACACACACACACACATACCCCTTGTGGCCTCCAGGTCTGACCACCAGTCCAGGCTAGCCTGCTTAAATGCCAGATTTGGTTGCCATAGCGTCTCCAGGGAGACCGCGCTGGATTATAATTAGATCGGCTGCCTCCTGCTCTTCACTTGGAGGGGCCAAAGCTGGAATCTCAGCTCTCCTAGCTCTCACTTAAGATGGGCAACAAAGTTTTTGACAAACACATGGGTCTCCATCTACCCCTGGGCCTGACCAAGGGAGCTGTCAGGGTGGGGTTCACCAGCCAGTCATGGTTGTGCCGTCTGAACTACTCTTTTCTGTGCAGATGGTATGGTGTATGCGCTGGGGGGAATGGGTCCTGACACGGCCCCCCCAGGCCCAGGTTCGGGTGTACGAGCCCCGCCGGGACTGCTGGCTTTCGTTACCCTCCATGCCCACACCCTGCTACGGGGCCTCCACCTTCCTGCACGGGAACAAGATCTATGTCCTGGGTAAGGGCCGAGGGATGTGGGAAAGGGGAAGAAAAGAGTCCATCCCTTGAAGGTTGTCTGGGTTAGGGATCATTCTTAGTCTGAGGTGTCAGGATTTGAGAAGTTTTGTTGGGGGTAATCCAGACCTATTCTAAGGCCTTCTTGGTGGCCCAACTGGGATTGGAAAATCAAATTCAAGCCTGAGGGTTTATGTGGTCTCGTGAGTAGTCAGGTGTGTACACAGCTGGGTGTAGTAACCAGGGATGGACAGTTCAGCCACCAGCTAAGGATGCCACCAAACCCTTTGGGCTCTGTCCCAGGTGCTTTAATTCTTCGACAGGAGGCCGCCAGGGCAAGCTCCCAGTGACTGCTTTTGAAGCTTTTGATCTGGAGACCCGTACATGGACCCGACACCCAAGCCTGCCCAGTCGCCGAGCCTTTGCTGGCTGTGCTATGGCGGAAGGCAGTGTCTTTAGCCTGGGTGGCCTGCAGCAGCCTGGGCCCCACAATTTCTACTCCCGCCCACACTTTGTCAATACCGTGGAGATGTTTGATCTGGAGCATGGTGAGCAATACCTCTTGTAGTCTGTGCTGCTCCCCTTGCGATGCAAGGGCAGCGTGTGTGTGTGTGTGTGTGTGTGTGTGTGTGTGTGTGTGTGTGTGTGTGTGCATGCCCTCGAGTCTGTTTATGTCTGTGTGTGTAAATCTTACATCTTCTCTCCCTCAGGTCTGTGTATGTCTGTGTGCACACATCTAACATCTTCTCTCCCTCAGGGTCCTGGACTAAGCTGCCTCGCAGCCTGCGGATGAGGGATAAGAGGGCTGACTTTGTGGTGGGCTCCCTTGGGGGCAACATTGTGGCCATTGGGGGCCTTGGTAAGTCTGTGGGGCTGAGGTAAAGAAGGCATACAGCAGAAAGGGCATCTTCCAGCAGGCCACTTTCTCTAGACTCCCCATGCGGTCAGAGCTCTGTGAGCGCTTGGTGCATCTGTAAATCAGGGCGCTTGGGATTGTCCTAGCTCTCAGGGTGTCCCCCAGCACCTGGCTGGGGGCTCTAATAGAAGCAGAATAGATGATCAAAGCATGACTGAATGAATGAATGAGTGAATGAAGATGAGCTGGGCAATGAATGAATGAGTGAATGAAGATGAGCTGGGCAATGAATGAATGAGTGAATGAAGATGAGCTGGGCAATGAATGAATGAGTGAAGATGAACTGGGCAATGAATGAATGAATGAATGAAGATGAGCTGGCAATGAATGAATGAATGAATGAAGATGAGCTGGGCAATGAATGAATGAATGAATGAAGATGAGCTGGGCAATGAAGAGCAAAGCCCTGGTGGCTTGTGCTGGGGTGATACTTACTGGGCCATTGGGGAAGGGAACAAGGATCTTCAGCCCCTTGTCACCCTTTGTCTCCTTCCTCCAGGGAACCAGCCATGCCCTCTGGCCTCCGTGGAGAGCTTCAGTCTTGCACGGCGACGCTGGGAGGCACTGCCTGCCATGCCTACAGCCCGATGCTCCTGCTCCAGTCTACAGGCTGGGCCTCGGCTGTTCGTTATTGGGGGTGTAGCCCAGGGCCCCAGTCAAGCTGTGGAGGCCCTGTGTCTGCGTGATGGGGTATGAGGGCCTGGTGAGGCCTTGTCTGCCAAAGCAGCTCAGCGTAGCAGCAGACTGGGCTCCTTTTTGCTGCTGAGGGTGCTCCCATGAGGGAGGCACAGGAGAGGGCACCTGAGTTACCGCCTTAGGGATGGGGGTTGGAGGAGCCTTTGTCTGTAGCACAGGACACACATGCTCACACCTATTTTACCACCGTCCACTCACAACCATAGCTAGCTCCACCCATGCCTAGCACTCACTAGGCCCTCTGTCAACTCTGAAGTGTGAAGAGGAGAGCGTTGGCCTCACAGGATAGGCCCAAGAGTTGACCAGGCCTTCTCCAGAGGCCATTCTGGAAAAGTCTGAGCTTCCAGCCTGCCCTGAGGGTCCCTGTGGACCCCAGGAGTCTTCTGAGACTGGAGGTCACAGAAGAAGCAGTGGAGAGAATATGGGGACTGCTGGAGGGAGGGCCAGAAGCCTGCTGACTTTGTGCCCTCCTTACTGATGGTTGTATGACGGGGGCAGGAAGTCCCACCTCTCTGTGCCTCAGCATCCTCATTTGTAAACGGGGATCTCTGAAACTTTCCCGCCCCACCTACCTCACAGGGCTGTTGGGAGGACCCAGGGAGTTTTGACGTGGAAATAAAAACACTGATGAGATCTTGTGTGTGGCTTGAGATGCAGGCTTTCATGTTGTTCTTTCTGCTCTGCCCTCCTTGGGAGGCCTCAGCTCTCCCAGGATGAAAGTCCACAGGAAGCCTTTTAAACCTCCTAACCATACCTAAAGCGACCTGAGTCACTAAAGTGACTCTGCCTAAGCCTCAGCTTTGTTTTGGTAACAAAAGGTTACCTGAGTGTCAGGGGACTTGGAAGGGTGAGCCAAAAAGACCTTCCAAAAACAATATAAATTCACAATGTTAAGATGACCTTTAGAGCCGGGCGTTGGTGGCGCACGCCTTTAATCCCAGCACTCGGGAGGCAGAGGCAGGCGGATCTCTGTGAGTTCAAGACCAGCCTGGTCTACAAAGTGAGTTCCAGGACAGCCTCCAAAGCTACAGAGAAACCCTGTCTCAAAAAAAACAAAAACAAAAAAGAAAAAAGAAAAAAAAGATGACCTTTAGGCCGGGCATTGTTGGAGCATACCTTTAATCCCAGGAGGCAGAGGCAGGAGGATCTCTGTGAGTTCAAGGCCAGCCTGGTCTTCAAAGTGAGTTCCAAGACAGTCTCCAAACCTGCAGAGAAACCCTGTCTTGGGAAAAAAACAAACAAACAAACACACAAAAGAGATGACCTTCAGATCCAAGTCACACAGTGTCTCCTCAAAGGTTCTGTACGACCACCAAGGGAGCAGTGCCTCAGTGGTGTGTTGGTTGGGGCAGTCGCCTTGTGGGAGGCGTCTCTCTCTCTCGGACATGACTGTGGTTGCACTGTCAAATCTGTCAAGGTACCTGGCTCCTGGAGGGAGCTGCCAGCCCTTGCCACTCCCTCCCTCAGCGCTGGCTGCTCTCTAGGAGGATCCCCAGGTTCTGTATCTATACTGGGTGCAAGAGGCCCCAGTTACTGCTCTTGGGACCCTATAATGCACCCATGGTCAAGGTGACCGTCCTGGACTCTGAGTCTGTGGCAGGCCCTGTCCTTTCTCACTTAGTGGCAGGGTTCCCTGGACAGCTTTTCCCCAGCCCAGTACACAAACATTGGACCAAAGGCCATGGGAGCCAGACCCAGAACCTAGTAATGAGCTGATTACAGGCCCCTGAGACATCTTGGACTGTCAGTACAAACAGGCTATGTCAGATTAATGTGTTTAATGTTTGGGACCAGTTTAAACACTCAGCAACTCCAGCGTGAAGGTAGTGCTGCAGCAGCTTGGGTCTTGGGATCCCGGGGAGGTCAGGCCGGATTTCAGTGACTGGCTCTTGGGGCCTTACCTTGGCGCTCCCACAATAGCCACCCCGGGATGGCTGGCAGAAGTTGTGCTGGTAGGTGGTGCTGATGTAGGGAGGCTGGACCTGCACAAAGTGGACAAGGCGCTGGGGGAGCCTGCTGAGTTCTGAGCCTGCCCGGAAATCGGTCTGATAGGAAGACACCAGAGGCGGCTGCTGGCTCAGTTCCAGTTCACAGGGTCCCCAGCGCAGGAAGGTGTGTCTCTTCCACAGGCGCTCCAGGTCTTTCCGTCTTCCAATTCCCTGCAGCAGGCAGTAGGGGCCCTCCTCAACGGTACGGGCCCTTGGCCCACAGTCTTGGCATTCAGGGATTGCTTGGGCCCCCAAGTAATTCCAGGATGGTGATGCTGGAATTGTGCCTGACCTCCCTAGCCTGTACCCTGCAGTCCCAGTAATATCATCCATTTTAGCAAGAAGTCCCTGAGTGGCCCCCTGGGATATTTGTACACTCTTGGGCAAACTAACAGAAAAAAAAAAAAAAAAAAAGGCAGAGTTGTCGTTGTCTGGGGCATGGGCTATTTAGCAGTGGAAAAGGTAGGGAAAATAGACTCTCCTCTGACTATTTAAGAAACCTTTGTGAGGTTTCAGAAGGATGGCCATGAAAGTCTAGGCTCACAAACAAAAAACATAAGAAACATTTGAGCCCTAAAGGTTTTATGTCTATGCTATACACTCCAGCCAGGGGCTCCTCCCCCTTCCTCCCCCTTCCTCTTTCCAGCACTCACTTTGTCGTAGGAAGTGCGATTGTCGTGCTTGGAGAAGAAGTGTTGTCTTACTGGCTCCTTGAAAGAGATGAGAAGGGAGGTAAGGGGGACAGGTACTTATCTGCTCCTGCAGATACTGCTCAGGGCACATAACTGGGGAAGCTGCAGGAACCGCTACTTCTAAATTGCTACAGTGCCAGCACCACCCTGAAAGGGGGGAGAGGAAGAAAGCAGTGCCTCACTCCCGTGTGTCTCTCATCCTGCCTCACAAGCTTGAGGCCACTGGGATGTCCGTCCCGATAGCCTGTCATCAGTGGAGGGCTTGAATCTGTGTTACCTAGGCTTCAGGCTTCCTGCCTCCTCCCACACTCCCTAACGGCACAGCTATGCTCTGAGCCCTAAATGACATCTGGAAATGAATATGTCTGTCTCCATTTGAGGGTATCTGCTGGATCCCCGGCTCAATAGTCAACTTGCCTTCTCCACATCTTCATGTCCAGGCTTGGCAGGCATCTCTAAACACATCACTGATGTATGAGTGCCCAGCATGTGTATAGCCGCATGCTAGAAGAGGGCATCATCTATTATAAATGGCTTTGAGCCCCCATGTGGGTGCTGGGACTTGAACTCAGGACCTCTGGAAGAGCAGTCAGTGCTCTTAAACACTGAGCCACTCTCCAGTCCCTGTTTGTTGATTTGAACACAGAGTTTTGTTACAGTAGCCCAAGCTGAATTGGAATTTAGTACACAGCCCAGGTTGAACCTGCTTTTAGATGCTGGAAGGCTGCACCTGGCTAATCCTGGTCAAAACTGCCATCATCTCTTGCCCGAAGTATTGCAAGAACTTTCCACCAATGCCCATGCTGTCGAGATACCCACTCCCAGTCTGTTGTCTTCTCAGTAGCCAGAAATTCCTTAATTACATAAACCAGGTCATATCTTGTTTGCCAAAAATCTGCAAAAAAAGCTTTTCATGTTTGTAACAATCAGAATCATAATAGTGGTTCATGAGAGCCACATGACACAGCTCCTTCCTTCAGTCACTTCTACATCATAGTCTCTCTCTTCAGACCAGGATTCCCTCCTTAGGCCTTATCTGGCCGGATCTGTCATGGATGGGGTGGTGGTATTAGCAACAGGCTCAGATAAAATGCAAAATTTTGGGTGTCTCAGTGGTAGAGTGCTAGCCCAACTTGTTTGAGACTCTGAATTTTTATCCCTAGAACCAGAAAAAGAAAGAAACAGGGGGAGGGGGACTTACTCCATCTTGAAAAACCAAACTAAACCAAATCAAACTAACTCCATCAAAGATTGATGATTCCGTTAAAATAAAGTGTGTGGTATGTCTTTAACACTCTTTCTACCCTTTTGGTACTTTTTGCCTTAGCTATTATGTATCTGGAAGTAATCTCCAAATAGCATGATACTCGATGAAGACAGGAAATTGGCCAGCATTTCTAATAAAGAAGGTGACACAATTGGCACTAAACTCCCAGGGCTCTTGCAACTGAGGGTTTAGTTCAGTGGTAGAGAGTGGGTTTTTCATGTTTAAGGCCCTGGGTTCAACACACACACACACACACACACACACACACACACACACACGCACACGCACACGCACACGCACACGCACACGCGCACACGCACACGCACACGCACACACGCAAGCACCAAAATCAACTAATAATCAACCAACCAAAATCCAAGGCTGTTTACAAGAGAAAAAAAAAAAAAGGAGAAACTCTTCAGAACCTAGAACAGGCAAAAGGTTTAGACTCCGTACCTAATCAAAGCCAAAAAGAGAAAGTGAGCCAGGTCTGAGCCACCTTGTAATCCCAGCATTTGGGCAGTAGGAGCAGGCAGTGGTGGCACACACCTTTAATCCCAAAACTTGTGGATCCCAAAAAGGTGATCTGAGTTCGAAACCAGCCTGGTCTATAGTGTGAGTTCCAGGACAGCTAGACACAGAGAAACCCTGTCTTGAAAAACCAAAACCAGCCAACCAACTAACCAACCAACTAAACAATCTAGACTTTATCAGACTTGAAATATTTCTGTTCTTGGGGCCTACAAAGACATCTCAGCAGTTAAGTGCCCTTACTGCCCTTGTAGAGGGTTTGTGTTCAGTAGTCACATCCATACCCTGTGGCTCACAACCACTTGTGATTCCAGGTCCAGGGATGAACACTTTTTGGCCTCTTCTAGAACCAGCACACACTTGGTCCACATAAAATAATGCAGGCACACATGTACACACATAAAAATAAATAAATCTTTTAAAAAACGGTGCCAGGCATGACTGCCGTGTTTCTAATCCAGCACTTAGGTTGAGGTGGGAGGTTTGTCTCCAGTTCACTGCCAGCCTGGGCTACTAAGGGAGACCCTGTCTCCCAAAAGATTTTTTTCCTTTGAAAATCTATAAGAAAAGGATGAAAAGCAAGCTACAGACAGGGGAAAAATATACTTGCAAACCACATATTCAACAAGGTCTAGAATCAGCTGGGTAGTGGTGGCACACACCATTATTCCCAGCACTCGGGAGGCAGAGACCGATGGATTTCTGTGAGTTGGAGACCAGGCTGGTCTACAAGGCTAGTTCCAGGACAGCCTCCAAAGCCACAGAGAAACCCTGTCTCAAAAAACCAAAACAAACAAACAAACAAGGACTAGAATTTAGACTAAATAATGATACCATTGCAATAGTAAGATATAAGAAATGGACAAATAACATAAAGATGTTTCACAAAAAGAATATTCAGATGAAAAATATCATGAAAAGATGCTTGACATCATTAAACACTGGAGAAATGCAGATCAAAATCACAATGAAATCTTATCACACATGTATCAGACTGGCTAAAACTAAAAATAGCGGCAATGCCAAGTGTTAGTGAAAAAGCAGGGAAATTGGATCATTCATGCCCTGCTAGTGGGAATGTAAAATGGCAAGGCTACGATGGAAAACAGCTTGACAGTTTCTTTTAAAAACTAAACATGCAACTACCATATGATC